GTTGTTGTCATTTTTGTTTTTATTATTATCATTATTGTTATCATTATTATTTTTTTTTTAATTATTGTTGTTGTTGTTGTTATTACTATTATTATCATTATTGTTATTATTATTATTATTATTATTATTGTTGTTATTATCATTATTATTATCATGTTATGTATATCATTATTACTCATTTAGTATTAGTATTATTATCGTTACTATACTCATTATTATCATTATTATCATTTTGATTGCCATTATCATTTTCATTATCATTATTATCATTATTATTATTATTATCATCATTATTGCTATTATTGTTCTTATTATCATTATCAATCTTATAATCATTACCAACTTCATTATAATTATCATTATCACTATTATTAGTAGTACTATAGTTGTTATCATTCTTATCATTTCCATTAGTAGTAGTAGCAGTAGCATCATTATCTCTATTGTTTTTATCATTGTTATATTCACTATCATTATTACTAGTCATCATTATCATTGTTATCATTATTGTTATTATTACTATTATTATCGTTATTATCATTGTTATTATCTTCATCTTCATCTTCATCATCACGATCATCATAAACCACCCTCATCATTATCATCACTGATTGAACAGGCATTCTAGTTGGCGGATCGCTTCCTGTGTACACGTCTCTGTTCGTTTTTTATGCCTAGAGATAACTTTGTCAGCGAATCGCCCGGACTTTGACACGGACATGACAGAGCAAGACACCAACAACACCTGGTTAGTTTCGTGAATAGTCGAATGACCCCCACCCCGCCCCTCACGCCCATTTCAGCGCGGAGGGGGCGTTTTAGGCCGCTTGGTGGAGGGGATCCTTCGCGCCGTGGGTGAGGACGCCCACGTGGTCGAGGTGGTGAGCGTGCACGACGCCCGCCGCCCTCCGTTCCCGCTCGACGCCCCGCCCAACGCCACGTCGACCTTCTTCCAGACGCCGCCTTCCTTCGTGTCTCCTGCGACGCCCTCCTCCGACGCCTCCGCCCGGGCTGCGTGCGTGTGGGTGAGCGTCAGGGAAGCGATGGGTGGCTTCATCGACCCCGTGAAGCTCCAGGGCCTTCTGCAGCTTCATTCCGCCGAGGTAAGGAGGCCGGAGGTTTCTTTCTTTCTCTCGTGATGGTCGAAAAGTTTTTTTCTTTCTTATTTTCCTTCCTTCTTCCTTTCTTCTTTCGTGAAGGGCTGAGAGTCGAATGGGGGGTAAATCGTGGGTTCGTGTGAATGAATTTGGATGTTAAATTATGGAATTAAAACCTTTTCCGTTGATTAGGTTCGCGTATTGGTGGCACATTACGCTGGCTACCCAATATGCGTACTAAAAGTCGACCATTTTTTTTCATTCACAAGCTTGTCGAGCTAATTCATATCTTTTCAACCATGAACTATACATTCACGCAAAAACGGGAGCCGAGTTACTGAAAAGCGGAAATTATAATTATCATTCGGCTGATTACTGATATTGGGCTACGGTCGAGAATATCTGCATATTAATTCGGTTTTAATTTTAGAGTACTTTTGCTATTGCTGTTCATTATTACGTGGTATGAATAGATAATCAAATATCTGATCCTGTAAACCTACGTATATGTGTTTGTATGTGTGTGTGTGTGTGTTTGTGTATGCGTGTTTGTGCATTCAGGTGTGTGTATGTGTGTGTGTGTGTGTGTGTTTACGCGTGTCTTTTGCTAAATATTGATTTACAGTCTGTTCACCTCGAGATAGTGAAATATGGCGTGGATTCCCCGTAGACTTTCTCAGACAAGCAGCTCCCTCTTCCCTCCACCCGCGCAACAGGTATCCAAAGCGGTCAACTTGACGGTGACGGCAGAGGACCCAGAGAAGCTGGCGTCCTTCCCTAAGCAGCTGGAGGACGCGAGGGAGCCTCTCGACCATCAACCAGGATCAAAGGACACCCAGGAACCCTCCTCAGCTGCCTCGCTCTCTTCCTCGCCGGTCCCCCTGCAGGTGAGAGTCCGAGTCCTTCTTTTCGGACGTTCGCAAAAGTTCTCAAGCTATTTATTCTTCGTATATATTTTTCGTGTTCTCTTATCTATAGTTTCTCTATCCTAAAGTCTTCTTAAGATTTAGAAAGGATTGATTTACCCTCGTTTTGTTTTTTCATTCATGTGTCTTTCATCCTCGGTTTGTTATTATTATCCTTTATCTTTTATTATCCTTCGTGCATTTTCCTTCCTTCCTTCCTTTTTTATTATCCTTCTTTTATTGGTCTTTATCCTGTATTCTTTATCCCATTATCCTACGTGTCTTGTTCCCAGAGCGGTCTTTACGCTACTTATCCAAAGCTTTGTTCTTTAAACCACGTGTTCTTCACATGTGTTTCCCTGTGTAATGTTCTTTATTCATCGCATCCTATATATCTTGTTATTTTATTTAGTTTCTATTTATTCTTTATTATCAATTCTCTTCCCTGTGTATGTATCCCATGCCTCTTGTTATTTAACTTTCTTTTCATGTTCTTTATCTTATCCATTGCTTTTTTTTTTTTTACCCTATTTATCCATTCTTCCCCTTCCTTCTCACTTTCCCTTTTCTTTCTCTATCTTTCTCATTTATTCTTCTACCTCCTCCCTTATTCTTCTCATTTTAACTTCTCCCTTATTCTTCGTTTATTTTCTCCTTCTTCTCCTTTATTCTTTTTATTCATTTTTCTCTCCTCTCCCTTATTCTTCTCCTTATTTACCTCTCTTCTTTATTTTTCTCATTTATTTTTCTCTGTTCTCCCTTATTCTTCTCTTTTATTTTTCTCTCTTTTTCTTTTTTCTTTTCATTTATTTTTTCTCTCTTCTACCTTATTCTTCTCATTTATTCTTTTCTCTTCTCCCTTATTCTTCTCTTTTACTTTCCTCTCTTCTCCCTTCTCATTTATTTTTTTCTCTTATCCCTTCTCCTTAATACTTTTCCCTTTTTATTCTCCCATGTCCCTTATTCTCCTCTCTCATCTCCCTTCTTTATTCTTTTCCCTTTTTATTCTCTCATCTCCCTTATTCTCCCTTCTCCCTTCTCCCTCATTCATCTCCCTCTTTATTCTCCTCCCTTATCTCCCTTCTCCCTTATTCTCTCTCTTCTCCCTTCCCTCGCAGGTGGTGGACATCAACGCCACGTCTTTGGTGACCCCGCGCCTCACCCACGCCCGTCGCTGTCACGCCCTCGAGTACGACACTTGCACGCCCGCCACCTGCCTCAACGGAGGGCGCTGCGTCGGGGACCATGGCGAGAGCAGGTGAAGATTTGGCTTCTTCGGGTTTTCTGTCTGTTTGGGTGGATGGCTGGGTGGCTGTCCAGGTGGTTGGGTGGGTGGGTGGGTGGTTGTTTGTTTGTTTGTCTGTGTTTTCCGTCTTTTTTTCTTTCTTTTTCTTTATTTTTTTTCTTCTCTTTCTTCTTTCTTCTCTTTCTCTTTTCTCTTTCTTCTTTCCTTCTTTCCTTTTTCTTTTTCTCTTTCTCTTTCTCTTTCTCTCTCTCTCTCTCTCTCTCTCTCTCTCTCTCTCTCTCTCTCTCTCTCTCTCTCTCTCTCTCTCTCTCTCTCTCTCTCTCTCTCTCTTTCTCTTCTTCTTTCTCTTTCTTTTCTTTCTCTTTGCTTTCTCCCTTTACCTCACTCTCTATTTCCGTTTTCCCCTTTTATATATATATATATATATATATATATATATATATATATATATATATATATATATATAATATATTATATATATATATATATATATATATATATATATATATATATATATATATATATATATATACATATACATATATATATATATGTGTGTGTGTGTGTGTGTGTGTGTGTGTGTGTGTGTGTGTGTGTGTGTGTGTGTGTGTGTGTGTGTGTGTGTGTGTGTGTGTGTGTGTGCGTGTGTGTGTGTGTGTGTGTGTGTGTTGTGTGTGTGTGTGTGTGTGTGTGTGTGTGTGTGTGTGTGTGTGTGTGTGTGTGTGTGTGTGTCATATCTATATCTATATATGTGTGTGTGTGGAGAGAGAGAGAGAGAGAGAGAGAGAGAGAGAGAGAGAGAGAGAGAGAGAGAGAGAGAGAGAGAGAGAGAGAGAGAGAGAGAGAGAGAGAGAGAGAGAGAGAGAGAGAGAGAGAGAGAGAGAGAGAGAGAGAGAGAAGAGAGAGAGAGAGAGAGAGAGAGAGAGAGAGAGAGAGAGAGAGAGAGAGAGAGAGAGAGAGAGAGAGAGAGAGAGAGAGAGAGAGAGAATGAGAGGAGGGGAGAAAGAGAGAGAGAGAGACACGGAGAGAGAATGAGAGGAGGGGAGAAAGAGAGAGACCCATACAAACAGTTATTCTAGAGAAAAAAAAACGAATGCCGCAGATATAGAGGGAAGGGGAAATAGTGAGAGAGAAAGGGATGAGGTGGGAAGGCCTGACTGTTAACACTTTGCAGTTTTAAAAATGATATTGGAAAAATATTCACAAGGCGAACTTTTATTTAGAAGCATTCAATTCTTTTTTCAAAAGCTCGACAAACTTTTTTTTTACCTCATTTTTCCCAATTTTTGTTATTGTGTTTTGTTTGTTTATTTCTTTGACTTTTCTTTCCATGGTCTGTTTTATTATCAATTTGGTAATTTTATCGTTGTAAGTGTCGAGAGCAAAGTGGACCTGTGCTGCCATTTCTAATAGGTTTTGTTGTTTTATCCTTTTCGAACTTGGAAAAGTCATCACGACAAACATTGCAAAGTTTTGTGTGTGTGTGTCTCTGTGTGTGTGTGTGTGTGTGTGTGTGTGTGTTTATTTGGAAGTATTTGTTTAATTTGACAACGGTAACAGAAATATATTTAACATACCATATACATTTTCATTCTGTTTTCGATATCGTTTCTGTAAATCTCTCATGCACTATAGATTAGATAAAGGATTAAAAAAAAATAAAAAATAAAAAAATAAAAAAACCTTCCTTACATGTTCATTGCTAATGCACAGGATAATGCGGTCTTGCATCAAACTCTTATCATTTTCATTCCATGTCGTCTTTCTATAAAAAAAAAAAATACATATTCTATCGTTCTGCTCATTCCATAACTCATGCTGATAAGCCCACTCTCGCCTATTATTCATTTTTTTCAAAAACCTTGTTCATTATGTTCATCATTATTCGAAATCTATGTTTATTATACTCATGAAAATCGTGTTCATTCATTTTGTCACTCACCCATGCTTATTATAGTCTGTGATTCACCCACACTATGTTATTCATCCACTCATGTCATTCTGTTTTTCACCCAGACTCATTTCATCATTCACCCTACGAACTACAACCAACAAGCTCATTTTACAACTCTATCTCCCCCCCCCCCCCCACCCGATGCCTCCCGACCCCCAGGTGCGTGTGCCCCGGGGGATCCGACGGACCCCAGTGCAAGGTCCTCTCCCGGTCCTTCTCGGGATCTGGCTGGGCGTGGGTTAAGCCCCTCCCTCCCCCCCTATACCAGCCTCACCCACGCCCCACGCCCTCGTCCTGTACTCCGGCCCCCTCGCGCCCACCTTCCCCCGTCGCGAGAGGAGGACGCCCACGCCCCTCTTGGCCGTTCAGGTGCGGAGTGGGCGGCCTCAGGTGCTGCTCTATGGCGGGGGCGGTCAACTCAAGCTGTCTGTTAACGCTACGGTGCACGACGGACAGTGGCACACCGTCTACGTGAGGATTCACTCCAAGGTGGGCGTGACTTTGCTCTCTGTCTGCTGCTTATTTTTGTCGTTTTCATTATTTTTATTGTTATTATTAGTAGTAGTAATAGTGGTAGTAGTATCATTTTTATCATTATCATTATTACTACTATCATTATTATCTTTGTTATTATTATTTTTATTATTATTATTATTATTATCATTATTATCATTATTATTATTATCATTGTTATTATTGTTATTATTATTATTATTATTATTATTATTATATTATTATTATTATTATTATTATTCATCGATCATTATAATTATTATTCATTTTTATTGTTGTTGTTGTTATATTCTTTTTTCTTCTTCTTCGTCTTCTCTTCTTTCCTTCTTCTTCTTCTTTCTACTTCTCTTTCTTTACTTCTTCATCCTTCCCCTCCTCTTCTTCTTCCTCATCCTCCTTTTACACCTTTTTCTTTAGCTTCTACCTCATTTTCTTGTCTTCTTCTTAATCTTGTTATTGGTGTACATTTCTTCTTCTTCTCCTTTTCCTTTCCCTTCTTATCATTCTTCTATTGAATATTTTCCCTACCACTCGTATACCTGCTGAAGTATGTCTAAAGGTAATTTTTATTCTTCACTTTTCTTCTTACGGCAATGTTGTTGTTTTTTTTCTGGGTTTTTTTTTTCTCTCTTTCTTTCTTTCTTCTAACGATAAGGTACTTTTCCTTTTTCTTTTAAGAATAACTTTTTTTTCAAACGCTATATTCTCTCTCTCTCTCTCTCTCTCTCTCTCTCTCTCTCTCTCTCTCTCTCTCTCTCTCTCTCTCTCTCTCTCTCTCTCTCTCTCGTCTCTCTTCTCTCTTCTTCTTCTCTTCTTCTTCTTCTTCTTCTTCTTCTTCTTCGTCTTCTTCTAACGGTAATATCCTTTTTTTTCTTTCTTCTGACAGTAATATCATTTTTTCCTTTCCCTCTAACGGTATGAGTTTCCATTCCCGTTTCTCGTATAGCCTTAGCATCGCATATTTGTTCATATTCCGAAGTATGTCAGTTATTCAGCCTAGGTTTATTAAATTATCGGTTCTCAAACCCGTGAGCCGCAAAAGTTTTCGGAAATAAGCAAATTCTTCAGTTTATAAAAGATATGTTGACTTTACTTCATTTTTCTATTCATGCACACACACACACACAACACACACACACAACAACAACACACACACACACCACATACAAAAAAATAAACAACACACACCACACACACACACCACAACACACACACACACACACACACACACACACACACACACCACTCATACACACAAACAAACAAACAATCAAACACACATATACACACACACACCACTCATACACACAAACAAACAAACACACATATACACACACCAAAATAAACACACACACATCCAAATTTAGACTCACATAGACCCATAAATACCTCCGCGAATGAGTCCACCTCCTGTGTACTTAAACTCAACAGCCTCAGCCTTCATTAAGAAAGCTGGTCAAGAAGCATAATGTTGCTCTTTGTGTGGTTGATTTGATGGCGCTGCTTGTTTGTCTGTTTTTTTTTTATTGTTTCTTTTTTGTTGGATGTTTTTTTCTTGTTTTTTTTTTTTTTTTACTTTTTTTGTTTGCTTGTTTGTTTGTTTATGATCATTTGCTATTTGTTCCTATGCTTTTATTGTTGTCTTTTTGTTGTTTCCTTTTCTTCCTCTTCTTCCTTTTCTTCAAAACATATTTCATTTCCAGATATATATTCACACCTGAATTCAATACAATAGATACAGAAGAATCGGTGCAATTGGTTTAAATAGCTTAACATTATCAAAGA